GCCTCTACGCAGCCGGCATATCATTTGACATGCCCCTTACTGCTCTAGCGCGGATACAATATCACCTCGCTATCTTTTTCGTCATTTTTCCATTATACTGTATAATGAAACGTATTTTAGATACGTAAGCATGTCCTTTATGTCAGGCGATTTTACTCTCCAGGGTTGCCTACACTCATCTGGCCCTACGCTGCATCATGACTCGCTGCCTAGGTTACCATGGACTGCATTCGTCAAGTGTTGCCCACCCCATCACTCTGCCTGGCTGTGTGTAGACCTACTTCGGTCTACAGTTCCCTATCATTATTTCTTCCGCCACTTTTGCCCATCTACAGTATAGCCAATATAGATCCCAAAGTATTTTGCTTTTTTTGCTAAAGTACGACAAAGTTGTATTTTCATTGCAACTTGGATTTCATGCTATTCTAATATATATCTGGATTATACGAGTTTGTCATCCTTCAGCCCCTCCTCCGTTTACTACCCTCCGTTTATATTGACCCACCACATGTTACATCGAGAGCCGCGGAAGAGAGAGGTGCTGGGCTTTTGCCTCGGCTGTATCGACATTTAAACACCTTCTTTTTCCTACCTTTATCGCACCTTAACGCCTCCTTTATCTACATCCTGCTCTGGACTGGTTAGCCAGCGCCGCTCCGAACTTTCGGTCCTCTCTCTCCGCGATCATCTGAGACGCGTCAACTACACGCTGCAGAAGCAGATCGCGCGGACTGACACACACGTTTTTCACTTGTCGACCACGTCGCTGGTGTATGCTGTCTTCATGCCGAGCGATCATTATACGCCTAACTTCTCTGAACCTGACCAGGGTTACCTGAATCGAATAACGTCACACCTTAATAGTCCATTAAAGGTCCATACTAATCGTCAGCGTGCGCATTAAACTGTTTACTTACCAATCTCCCAGGTGAAAATGAATAATGGATATATAAGAGAGGGCTCATAGTTGAAGGAACTTGATAGGATGGCTACAACGCTGCTGACGCTCAGAAGCACTCTCTATCTCGCGTTTACGCAGTTAGAAGAAACACCAACTCTCGCCAATCTAACTTCGATTCTCTGACTGCTCTGGACTCAAGAGAAGCACGTTAAATAAGATGAACATACTGCATCATACATACATATCATACAAAAATGCGCCTTCGCGCTGAATATTGTTACACTGAAGGTCCATTGCGCAAACAGCATCATAAGTTACAATATAGTGTGCAGAGTTGTTTACATCTTTTCCTGTTCAATTTGCGTGATAGTGCCGATAAATGTATGATATTCTAGTTTCACAATCAGTGTGGTACGTTTAGAAGCATGTATAATAGTATATGTTATCAGACACGCTATCTTATTCAAGGTACTAGCCCACAATGAACAAGCTAGGGTTGGAATATTTAGAGAGGAGCCAGCTCAACCAGCTGCTCCATCGCTTCTTGGTGATCATTCTGGCACTTGACCGGTGATGTCTTTAATTTTAGCACTTTTCAGCAATGCCATCATGGCATTGAAAATCTAGATAGATTCGGGCCTGACATCTGAAGGCTCTACTTCCTATCATTCATAAAATTTTGTGTCATATTATGTGTACAATAGAAGGGTTGCAGTGCTTATAAGGAATGTGCTGGTTATGTTTAGTGTGGGGTAGAATGTGTCTTCCACTGTTTGGGCCTCTTAAGAGGGGAAAGAATTATTGGTTATATTTCTCCTATCCTTGTGTTATCTACACTTACACTTTGGTACTAAATAGGGCACTGGCTTTGTTAATATTTGTGTTCTTATTCTGTTGATGTTTAAACGCCCACACATATACTGTGTTTGTGTTGTTCCCGCTTTCCATAAGGTTTGGCAACAAGCAATATATTGGATGCCCGCTAGTGCTGCAACAGTTGGCATGGAACCCTAAAGCTAGTTTGGCGCAAAATGTAGTGGATACCTTCCTACCCCTGCCTTGGTGAGTGTTTGTGGGACAAGAAAGCATAACGATCCACCTGAGTAGTCTTTTTACTCTGATGTTTCTTTGTCATCTCTTCAGCATTTGGGACACATTGGGGACACATTGGAACCTAAATTTATGACATCTTGTCCCACAAGGATGAGCATAGAGTTTTAACCTTAACAGCTGTTCATTTTTTGGTGTCTAGCTGGACGTTTCGGGGGGAAAAAGCCCAGTTTTTATGTCCATTTTTTCAATCTAGGTGGGCCCCAGCCTTTCACTGTTAACCACTTTAATTTGACCTTAGGCATGAAAGGACAAAGAGGAAAAAGGAATCTTATTGGCCACAAAGCTGGCAGTGTGCATGCATTTGTATGCGTGTGTATGCATATAGACATCTTTACTAATATGCTTGAGTGATTCTCTGGTTTAATGTATGTTTGCTTGGCACTTGCATTCAATAAGCCCACAAGTGTCTAACTCCCCTCCCTCGCCTCTGTGTAGGCATCATCCGACCCACATGGCGCCACGTGTAGGTGCAGCACAAACGGGTGTCCATCCCCCATGCCCCCCATGGACGTGCTCCGCATTGGAGAAGCAGTATGCAGTACGAAAGCGAAGAGAAAACTCTACCTCGTCCTGCTTCTTCGACAACAGCCGCAGCTGTGAGTGCCGCTATCCGTCCGGGGAGTGATTTTCACCTGCTACAGGTTTTCTTACAAGGGTAAAACAGTCAACCTGTGCTGTCCAGCTATTCATTATTCCTCCTCGTGCTCGAGAACAGGCAATTGTCAAGAGACGACAAATGGCTCTTCCTTTAAAGATTTCCGCCTGGACTCCTCATCACTGGGAAATGTTTTCTAAATCTTTTCTAAATGATGGTGGTTCTGTGAGCCTTTGTGTACTGGTGAGCTGGCTTTTTTATCTGCTACTAGGAAAAGAATAATGCCACATCTAGGAGTGAGGGCTGAAACTAAACGAAATGTAGGCCAAAAATTAGGGGGAAGTAAAAAATATAACTTGAAAACCCAAAAGTAAATAATGCAAAACAAGCAATTGAAATTTGACCAGCACTTTTGGCTTCCTCTTGGATTATAACTGGATCAACTTTCCTAAACGGCTTTCTTCTAGTTCCGTTAGTCTGCCTAGTGCTACTTTTTGAATCATGAAACTACAGTTCAGGTGTTGTAAATATAAGATGCTGTCTCCCCCCCCCCCCCCCCTTCAGGCAGTGGCTTCCTAGATCCAAGATGGTTCCTCTGGGAATGGACAAAACCATAGACAAAATCAAAATGATGGAAGGACGCACATCCAGCATTCGCAAGGCTGTCCAGATCGCCTTCAGCCGCGCCATGAACCACCTGAGCATAGTGCAGGATGAGCCAGTCAGCGACCTCAGTGACGTGGACTGATGACGTTCGACCGACTCTCTCCCCTCACAAACACACACACACACACAAACTTGTACCTCTCCTGTACCAAAAACCTTCCTCCACCCCACCCCACCCTTCTCTCTGTCTCTGCAGGAGACTCAAATGTTTACTGGGCACCTGCTGTAACAGGTGGTGTCTCTTCCTCATCCATTCCTACTCGCACACACTCCTACCATGTGCCGATGGGATACGGCTGCTGCTGAAATGAATGTGTCTATCTATCCTCTCCACCTCCAGGCTTATAACTGTGCTTAGAGACTGCTCTTTCTTTGTCTGCACCGCCTCTCACCCCTCACTCCACCAATCGATTTTATTCATCATTTTAAGGCAAGAAAAAAATAAAAGTTTGTACATTTTGGTATTTTGGCCTTACCAAACGTGTCAGGACTTTGCAGTAAGAACCTAAAAACCGACTGTTCCATGTTCACTGCGCCGTTTCTTTTAACTCTGTTATTTTGGCAGGTCGCCGATCATCATTTCCATTACAAGCTGTTAAAGAAAGAAGCATCTAGTAGCTGGTAAATTTGCTAAAGCGGACAAAAACGTACATTTCCTGCCTACATGAAGGCTTTTCTGTTGTGTTGTAGCCAAAGGATTTGTTTATGTCAAGGTTACATTTACATATTGGTCGTCTCCATTAACAAATATCCTCCTTTGTATTTAAACTGTAAATAATCTGTACAGTTGCCTGACACTAACTTATTTTGTAGTTTTGACATAAATGAGTACTGTACAGGAGTTTTTCTTAGTATTTATACTTGATGCATTCTTGGCACTGAAGAGTGAGTGCTATTTTGACAGTGCTGTATGATCCGGAAGAATAAAAAGTGTGAAAGCCTTAGTATTAAGGAGATTAGGGCTAAAATGTGTTTCTGCAAAGTATGAAAGTATTCCCTTTTTCATTTTTTCTTTTAAGTTATTGAAGTTTATAATCGTAAGCTTCCATTTGGCATTAATCCTTTTTGTATAAAAAAAAAATAGTTTTCGTATATTTTTGTTCATATATATTTATATGATTTGGATACACGGTAATACAGTATGTAAAGTCTCTGCAGTTCATACAGGCAGTCTGATGTTGTGGACACGGAACATACATTGTTCTCAAGAAACCAAAAATGTTGCTACCCAGAAGTTTTTTGCTGATTAATTTTCTGTGTGATGTGTGAAATTGTTGCCAAAAAAAGGAAAAAAAAGTAAAAGTGTATTTTTATGTGATGCATTCGACTGTTACTTGGTTTCGCTGTAGTCGTAGGGAGATGTGCCTGCGTTAACTTATTGTAAAGTATTTGCATTACTTTATATTCAAGGAAAGACGTGCAAACTGATTGTGGTAAAGTGGCACATTTTGTGGTGGATACTTGCCTTCTTTTTAAGTAACCTTTTCTAACTTTTTTTGTAGTAGTAGACTTCAAGACATTTCATTTTATACTCCTACGCCTATTTTTTCTGGGTAGCATTGGGTAGTTTTGGTATATTTCATTTTGTACTTAACTGTAGTAGTTTTTTTAATCAGGTCATACAAAATATTGCTGGGACTGTTTTTTGTAGCAAATCAAAAAATAAAAGATACAAATATGAATACATGTGCCTCTCCTTCCTTTTTTTAGAGATGTTTTTTTTATGTAGTGTCTCTTAGTGACAGCGCAGTGTTCAGAATTTAATTCTTCATGTTTCACTTTATTGTTCTTTAAAATGTTACTTCAAATTTGTTGTTAAATTTTCATTTTTGAGCCTTATCTTGGGCACAAAAGGACTGTGCCTCCTTCATGGTTGGCAGAATGCATACACTAATTCAACCTACTACCTGCCATATGGCACTGTACCCTGCTCATCTACTCCGCTTATAATTGTCCACTTACATTGAAAATTGTGTCCTATAGCTTGCCAGCTACATAATATCGGCTGCAGAGAAGGCCCAGCTTATGAACTGTGGCAAAACACATCGCTTATATTGCACGAACCAGACCCGATCTTGCAAGGGAGTTGTGCACTTTGCATGTGCTGATTAATCTAAAATAGGATTTATTGTGTTAGAGCTGGCCGTTATCCTCACCCGCCATTTTTGTTTATTATTATTTTGATTCTGTCACTTTCTTGGCATCTAATTACTCCAAAATGATTTGTGCAACAACAACAAAAAAAAATCAAATGAATATAAAATTGTGCAGCTCATTGAGCAGATGTGGGCTATTACTTTTGGTATGTCAAGCGTACTCCGACAATTTTATATGAATTTTTGAAGATCATAATTTTAGAATGGAAGTTTATAACGGAGGATTGATTCGACACCATTCAGACCTGCTCAGCTTTGAAAGTGAACTGTTCTGACGTACGTGCAGCTACAGAATGTGTTCCAACTTTAAAATGCTTATGAAACTGAACTTTCAAAAGTTCTAATCTGTGTTATGATTCCAACCAATTTAAGTCAAAAGTGACTGTTAGAGCCATTTTGAGAGTTGATCGGTGTGTCGTGTCATTTAAACTGCTTTGTCAGACAGTTTAAAGCTGCAGTAGGTAACTTTTATAAAAACTTTTTGTCATTATTGCTAAAGTACAAAAAAAAATCAGGTTCCTTTGGCACGTTTTTGTGCTTCTAATGGAATTTGCAAGAATCCACCGGCCCGGACAAAAATCAACCAATCAGAGCCAAGAAAGACATAAAGACGCTTTGGGGTGGCAGCTTGAAGATAGTTCATTGTTGAGTCTGATTCCCAGGGTCCCAAAATGTCTGTATTTGACACCCAGTGAATAAAACAATCAACTATCTTTCTTGGCTCTGATTAGTTGTTTTTCATTCAGGCCATTAGGAGCATTAATGAGGAGCCAGAGGAACCTGATTTATTCACAGATTATCTGTCTCATGTACAACTGTCAGCATATAGTGAACGTTTCACCAAAATTATTTTTGTAAAAATGACCTACTGCAGCTTTAAACTCTACAAACATAGAATACCTTCAAATGTAGCCACAAGCCTCCTTAAGCGACAGGTAGAGCACTGCCGAGCTCTCATTCATTATATTTAAACTGCATGCTGACTCCTTCATGCAGCATACTCCTTGTTAATCAGCCATTTTTACTTAGATTATTTTTAAGATATTCTTAGTTTGAGATATTCTCTCTTGTTCATGAGCTATAATCTTAAACTGTGAGCAATCACACCTGTTTTTCCATAAAATTGAATGAAGCTATTCTAGTGTCAATACGTGTTCTTTACATAACAGTGGCCGCTGCAGCTCGCCAGCTCTCACACACATTTTCTGAATCTCCAAAATTAGCTGAAAAAATGAATGGTTACTAGTAAGCACATAAGGTAGGATTTTAGAGGTAGGTTTATACAGCCTCAGGAGCTATATTAATGTAATCATTACAGTTCTTCCTCTCCGGGTTCCCAAGATAGATTTTTGTCCTTTTTTTTGTGCTCAGGAGATATTTCACTACTGACTATACAAACCTGTAGCTAGTGATGATCAGGACCACCCTAAACCTGTGGTCCTTTACTTGAGTAAAACTACCAATACAACAATCTAAAAGTACTCCACAACTACAAGTAAAAGTACTGTATTTAAACTCATATAGTAAAAGTACAGGAGTGAAAGGAGTAAAATACACTTAAAGTATCAAAAATAAACTAAAAATGGCCCCTGTGTCTGATATTATTGTATTGTTACTAACGCATCAATGTGTAAGCAGCATTTTACAGGTTAAGCTGGTCATGGTGGACCAAGCTTTGAAGCTTGGTTGATTAATCCAGTCTCCAAATGGTCACAAGGTAAATCTGAGGGCTTGTAAGATGATAATAGGGGAGCAAAAAAGAACAAAACATTTTTAAAGATTTCTCTAACCTTTTTGTGAAATATTGTATAAGTTTACCTGTTTTGGTCCCAAACAGTTGTTGAAGTTAAACTGTCTAAAATGTTTAGCAGATTTGAGATACTTGTACTTGCAACTTCATACTTCTTCAACTACATTTGTCTGACCTTCCTTCCTTCCTGTCCATTAAAAAGTTCTGGAATTTTTCTGATAAACTGAAGGTTGAACTGTTCATTTGTCATTGAAAAAAAACCCATTGTACTTCTTAATATAGACAAGCTATTTAAACCCTATTGAATCAGCTGGCATTGAAACAAAGCTGAAAACAGGGCTATTTTTCTGAGCCTCTTTTCCCTCCTCAAGCTGACTAACAGAGAGCTCCAAGTTTGCTATTAGCTCTACGGAAAGAGGCTGTCGTTCTCAACCTGTCCACCGAGTGGCGCTGTGGCTCCACATAAAACCCCCCCTCCGTGTCGCCGGGACGCCGTTGAGGAACCCAGCGTACCTCGAGCGTCCACCTGCCCCCCCCCCCAGTACTCAGGTTGGCATCAGTATTCAGCGTATAAACCGTTTTCATCACTGTGTTCAAATGGTGAATGCACCGATTACAGAGAATGTCAATTAATGCTAAATCAGTTTAAAGACATGGCTGCTGGTCTCACCCGCACCCCTCCAACCCCACCACCCTCGAGCTCAGCTAAAAGTCTGCTCGTGCCAATCACTGACCATCTCTCTTAACCCCCCTCCTCCATTTTCTTTTTTCTCTCTAAACAGAGAGTGGGCAGACAGTCCTCTTAAGTCTTAAGTGTTGTATTTGTTCATTATGCTAATATTCAGATGAAAAGTTAGCTAACGGAGACGGAAAGGCTAGAAAATGCGTGGGCGGGAGTTGAACCCGCACCGTCACACTTGGGCTCATTCACAAGAGTGCATCTTTTTAAAAGGCCTAAAAAAAAAACAAATAACAAAGTCGAGGCACGTCTTAGATGCAAATTCGGATGAAAAACTGTTGAAATATGCATTTTTACTTAAGCCAATTCAGCCTCTGTTATTTCCCTCTACTGACATTCAGAGAGGTAAAGTAGCGTTATGGGGGATTAAATGAGCTAGTAATGGCCCTGTGATATAGAAAGCCACCTTCAAGCCACAGTTTGAAAGACATCTCCCATCTTTCTAAACAATTGGAGCTAATGTGGCCGCGCGCAGACACGCAGCAGCCTCCATCCCTCTCTCCTTCTCTCTTCTTTTGTCTGTCTGTCTTTCCTCCAGATACTAATTGTGTGGGGAGGTAAACACAGCAGTCAAGTGGAGAGGACGGCGAGTCAAGCGTGAATATCAATCTCCCCACATCAGTGTCATCAGATGACTTTGACTGAGTTGAGGCGGGCTCATTAGAGTGGTGGAGCAGGGGGCCCGAGGGCTGCAGTAACATCCAGGTGAGGGGAATGGTGGTGGTGGGGGGGGGGCTCTG